CAAAATGCTTGTGGCTTGGTTTTAGGTGTTTAAATATATAGCTTAATAATTTACTGAATGCTCCATTCAGTAGATGGAGCATTCTGAACCAAAACAAAACAAAAATAAAAGAAATTACTTCTTTACTTTGTTAATATTAAGCTGCAAAATTGGAATTTCTGAAAAGGGTCTCCTTCTTTTGAACATAATAATCAAGACGAAAACGGAAAAAATTTTTAAGCAAATTCGAATATGGAGCTCATATCAGAAAATCTGATTGAACTCATTTGATAGGTAACGTTGCGATTCGGATAAACTCAGTGTTATCTCAGAAACTTTTAAATTAAGTTCCAATCCAATCGCCACATTCAATCCTCTTGCTCCATCATATCTGATACTGATCCTTTAGACAATATCTCACATCTAATACGGTTGTTTTAAATTTTCAAAATATTCTATAAAATGAAGAATTCGAAAATTGAATGAATAAAATATTTAATAATGTTGTCATAAATTAAAAATATATTTATAAGTCGACCAGCAATCCTAAAGTTGACATTATAACGCTTAAATTAAAAAAAAAAAAATACTGATGACATGCAATATCTCTTAATAAATAGATAGATCCATCTATGTTTTTTTTTCCCTTTTTGTTTTTATATACACATGTAAAAATAAATACCTAACGTTCTCATACATACATACAATTTTCTTGTAAGTGTAAATAGCTGTACATCAATAATATAGAAAATCCTTTTTTCATTTTCAATATTTCTTTACTTCTTTTTTTGCTCTTTCTCTACCACTCTCTCTCTCTCTTATACCTTTACATATCCTTTTTATATTTTATATACTTACGTATCTATTCTTTATGGCTTATTTTTTTTTCTGAAATTTTTTATTATTATTATTTATATTACTTTTGTATACGTAAGCATACATATGTACTCGTACATACAAACAGAGTTATATTGTTATAAATATTTGCTATTGAATTTTTCAAATATATTAAGGATTTTATTGCACCTTTTTTGAATATACAAATTATTTCTTTATGTACATTTCTTATATATATGCATATATATGTAGATTTGTGTGTATTCCAAGAATAGAAATGAAACATACATTCTCAAATATAGATGTGTATAAAATGTTATAGATGCGCTCTTGTTTGTAAATATTATATAATAATGAAAATAAATACGTATGTATGTATGTTAAAATAAATGATTGACTTTTATGTTTTTTGTTATATTATTGTTGTTGTCTCACATATTTATTTTTATTTTCTTATTGTGATTTTATTATTTTTCACTTTGTTGTTTGTTTTTATATATTTTTTTTGTTATTTTTCTTTTAATCATAAGCTTTACTTTTTTTTGTCTATTTTTATTTTTTTGTTTTTTCTCCTTTACATAACAATTTACTCTTATAACCTAATCTTTCATTCCTTTACCCTTTTTCTATATGAATTATTTTAAAACTTCTTTCTTTTCACCACTTCTAATATTCCACCATTCATATCTTCTTTACTCACCCTCTTTTGAATCATTTACGCGTTTCACCCTTATCTCTTATGGTTGAAATTTTCCTCTTTTCAGTTCTTCTCACTTCTGTTGCTGTTTTCTTTCCTTTAATTTTAATTCATTTATTCGTTTTTATTTTGTCACAAACTCACAAAAAATATTCTCTTCTCACCACTTTTATATTATATATGTAACGTTGTCTTTTCAATTCATTTTATCCTTTTTTATTTTTTGATATATTTTTGCTTTTTTTTGCTATTTTCAAGTTGTTTCTTTACGCCGCTTTCTTCTCTTCTATATTAAATGAGGGTGGAAAAAACCAACAGAGAATATTTTTTTACTCTCCCCTTTCAGTAGTTCTTCTTCATTTTTCTTCCAACTTGTAATAAATCCCATCATCTTTTTATTCTTGTTTTCATTTTCATTTTTTTTGTGTATTCTGTTCTGATCCATTTTCAAGTTTTCAGTTAATATTTTCTAGGTCTATCTGGTGTTTAAACTTTTCATTGTGCTGGTTGAAGTAGTGAGAGGTGAAAGGGGGGAGAGGATGGTTAGAATTTTGTTTTTATTTTTTTTGTTTTTTTTTATTATTGTAATTTTCTGTTTTCTATTGCTTACTTATATATTTGCTTGCTTACTTAATTTTACTTTATGTTTTTGTCATGCCGCCTTGCCTTTAATGGATGTGTAGAATGCATGCTTGCCTACTCACCTATCCGTCTGCTTTTTTCAATTTTCATTCCTCTATTACTCTTCTTCTTCTATGAAAAATTCTTGGTTACTTGATTGCCTGCTTTGCCATGCTTACTGCTTCTATTGCTACTGCTGCTCCTTTTTTACATATACGTATTAATATTTATATATAAATATTGTATATATACAAATATATTATTATGTGGCTGCTGCTTGCTGCTCTTACCGTGTGCTTCCTTTCTTCTTTTCTTGTTATTTCTGTTTTTTTTCTTCTTCTTCCTTATTTTCTTTATTTTTATTATTTTTCATTTTCCATTTTATTTATATATTTTTTTTTATTGTGTTTTTCCTACAATCGAACAAAAAAGTCGTCAGACAGAATTTGTGTTTTTCAGTTGCTCAGCGCATATAATATACGTTGGTTGGTTTGGTTGTACAAAAAAAAATATAAAAAAAAAACAGTAACATTTTATTCATATCGGGTGAATATACACAGCAAAAAAAAAAACCAGAAGAGAATACAGTTAATATACCAAAAAAAAAAGTAAAAAAATAAAAAAAAATTTACGAAAATAAAAAAAAAATCTGGAAAAAAAAGTTTGGTAAAAAAAAAAGGATATACGTAACTTTGTTTTAAGTTTTTTTTGCGGAAATTTTTTTTCTCTTGTATCGTTTTTTTTTTTTAAAGAATTTTTTTTTACCCGTAATTTTTATATGTAAAAAAAAATACAAATAAAAAATTTTTTTTTTCTGTGTATCGTTTAATTTTTTTCTCTTTTTTTTTTTACTGTGATTCACGTGAATAATACGCGTTATTCTAATTTTTTATTTTTTTTTTTATTATTTTGATTCTTACTGCTTACATTGTTTAGTGTTGTTGTTGTTGTTATTACTTCACATCATCATCATTTTTATCATCGTCGTCGTCATCATTGTTATTATCAACATCATTATGATTATTATTATTATAAAAAGGACTTATTTTATGAATTTATATATATAAATATCTATGTAGATTGTTACATATGTATGAAAGAATTTATATGCATACGTATATATTAAAATGTTTTATCAAAAAACCAAACCACCCTCAATTTTTATACCAAAAGAAAAATATTAAAAAAGTAAACTTGGAAATTTTTTTTCTTCTTTTAAAGAATTCCTTTTTATAAATAAATAAAAAAGAAAAAAAAAATATTTATATAATATATATACATATGTATATAATTTTTACCGTTATTATTATAATCATTATCATTATTTGTATTTACTATTATTAGTATAGTGCAAGGATATTTGCATCTAGTATTTTAGAGAAAAGAAAAATTACACACAGTCTTAATACTTAAGGTTACCTACAAATAATTTGCTATATAAATATAACAAGTATAATAATTTATACATTGTATATACATAATTGTGTATATTTGTAAATTATTATGAACATTTTTTTTAAATAAACATTTTATATCATAAAAAAATAAAACATAAAAGAGCGGCATAGAAAAACAGAAAAAAAGTTGGGAAAAATATGAAAAGGAATTTTGTCAAAAAAATATCTATAAAGAAAACAAATCTGTTTTTTACAATATAATTATATATACTCGTATATATATGTATACACTTATTTATATATAGAAAAAGTGTATATAATTTTAAAAATTCAAGTTTAAGAATTTCATATTTAAAACTAAAATGAAAAAAAAATCACAACATTATTATATGAAAATTACAATATGTATAATAAACAGGACTTAAGAATTGTTATATATACGTACTTATATCCATACATAAATGTATATAAAATATATGTGTGTAATAAGTAAGTGAAAATAACCTAACAATAACTTATAATAATAGTAATAAAAAATAACAGATAATAAGGATAAAAAGAGAGTATAATAAAAACAACAAATTTAAAAAAAAATAAAAAAAAAATAGTAAAGTGTAAGAAAAAATCAAACAAAACAAATAAACAAGAAAACAAAGAAAGGTGAATTCCCCATATTATTATTTTTTTTTTTCTATTTTATTAAATTCTTCCATATACATACATATATGTACAATTACTTCCGGAATCTATATTTATGTAAACATGATTATAAAATATTTATACCTATAACATGTTTACGTATGTATAGATGGTTGAATATAACAAAAAAAAAAAAATTTTTTTATATTTTGTGAGTTGTCCTTTTTTTTCGTTTTGTTCTTTTTTTTTTTTTTTTGCTTTGAATTTCATTATTATACAAGTATGATTTTTTTTTCTTTGGTAAATCATTTATATTTTTACATACATTGTTTCTTTATATTCATATATTATTTAATAAATACATACATACATACATATATACTTGGAATAGATGTATAAAATCTACATTTTTTTTATATATCTACATATAATATATAATATATGTATTTATTTTATAATATTTTGAATTGAATATTGGGATAGTCCTTTAGAACAAAAATATAGAATTTTGTAAGTACAATAGCTAAATGTAAATGAATATACAATAAGAAAATAAGTGGAAAAAAAAATAAGTAAAATAAAAAATAAGAAAAAATTTAAGATTTTTTTTTTTCTAATATACTTTAATATTATATTTATATACACAATATTATGAAGAAAAGATATGTTATTTGCCGTATGTATATACTTAAGTTATAAGTACATTGTATATACAATATGAAATATAATTTAGTGAGACAATAACAATAATAAGTTGATTAAACGTGGTTTGTTGTCGTCATCATAAATCTTTTTATCATCAATATTTTTATTTTATATATTGCATAAATACTTTAATATACACTCATTTGTACATATAGGTATATATATGAAATACAATTAAAATATTTTATAATAAGTATTTCTATACAAAATATATACATTATCGTTATCAAATCAGTATTATTGTCAAAAACAAAACAATTATTTGTATATATTTAATGAATTGCCAATGTCAAGAATCACAAAAAAAAAATGTTATCAAGAAGTTGGGGGAAACTTTAAAAGGTATGTTTGTTTCTTTTAAATTTATATACTTAAAATATTTTTTTATTTCTTATATTTAAATAATATTTACATAATAATGGAATTGAAATTATACTTGTATTAGGAACCTAATTTTTGTTATTTGATTTCTTTTTTCTCATTAATTGAGAAGAAAATTATTTTAAATATTATTAATTATCTTCTTGCTCTGTTAATCAGATACTCTTGAGATAATATTATTTGGTAAGAAGAGAATGTATTTCTTATACTTCACTCTTTTCCAAAAATTTGAGTAATAGTTAGAATGCAAAATTTAATCACTCTTCTTTGAGCATAATGCAAAATTTACAGTCATTTTGCTCTTTGGACAGTGACAAGTTTAGTCAGTATTTTAAAATTTTGACATAAGAAAAGATAAGAAATTTCATTGAAAAAATTAAGAAATTTCATTGCAAACGTAAAAGATGCTATTGATAAAATGACAATTTTAATAAGAAAATTAAATAAAAGTTTTGTTAGCTATAAAATGGGTCTTATATAAAATTCTGCTTTAAATTTATTTTATGAGTTTAAAATTCCTTACTTCTAAGACCCGTTTTTAATTTATTTAAAAAAATTTGAAATGTGAAATAATATGATTGTAAATTATTAAATAATTTCATTAGAATAACAAAAGCTAAGTGACTTAAAATGCCGCCGGAAAATTTCTAATAAATTATTTTATTAAAATACAAAACAGATGTATATATATATAGATTATATTATTTGCTTAAATAATATAATCTAGTTTCTTCTTTCTTAAATATTGTTAAGTAGTCATTATAAACTGTAGGCTAATTCATAATATTTATAAAAGAATTGAATTATTTTGAGTACGAACTTTCAAATAAAAATTTTAATTATAATATGAATATTTTGTTCTCTTTGAAGTATTGTAGAAGAAACCGCAAAATTTATTCAATTCATACAAGATTTACAAATATATATTTTAATATACTGAATACGTACAATATAGAACCATCATGTATTTCATATATATATATGAACATCTTCTATAATCTAGATATTTAGTTTTATTCTAATGTAATATCCTATACCTATGTATATTGCACCAAGAAAATAACATTGTTGTTTATCAAAAATTTGCTACTCGAGTTTGACTTTAGTTTGAAAGTTCAATTTAACAATATTAAGAAATTGCCATACTCTGAAATTGGAGGTGAAGCTCGAGAAATATTCATTTCTAAGATTGAAAATTTACTAAAACGATTTGGTGAAGTCTACGATTTTTTTTTAAAATTATGAGGTTACTTCGATTAATTATCTTATAAAACGAAACAATGTCACATTTTCTATGGCCTTATATAAGACAAATGAGACCAGCGTCCATATCGATATACCATTGTCTCCTTTTTTTCGGTTTTCATTTTATGGCAGCATTGCTCTATAGGTGCGAAATATAAATTTAAATAAAGTTGTTGTTTCATTTTGTTTTTTTTTTTAAAAAAGTTTTGGGATTTTTTTTTTCTTTTCTTACTCACTTCTGTGGTATTTTAAAGTTAAAAAGTTAATGGAAAGGAGAGAAAAAAAAATATGTACACACTTTATTTTTTTTTTTTTTTGCATATTTTATTTGACTTTTTTTTCGGTTTGGTTACTTCTGTTTTGCATATTTTTTTCCTTTTTGAGAATTTTTTACATTCGTTGTGGGGAAAATCAATTTGTTGGATTTCATTTCGGTTAGTTTTTTTTTTCATTCACACTCGTACATCTCCATATATAGATAGATATATAGATATATAGGTGTATATTATCAGATTATATTTTTAAATTAAAGGATTTTTCAAGAATAAAAACAAAAATTGACAAAAAAGGGTTAAAAATTAAATAAATAAAGAAAGAGAATAAAATTTTACAAATAAAACTGTTTGGATTTAGGCAATATAATTTTTTTTTCTACCGAAATTGTGATTGTCCTTTTAAATTTTTAGGTTTTTTTTTGCCTCTTTTTCTCCATGTAATTTTTTTTTTTAAAGAAAAAAAAATTGAAAAGTTTTCATTTCCTTGACCTGTGATTTTATTTTTAAATGAAGTGTGGTGAATTTCAAATATATTTTTTGATTTTTTTATTTATTCAAATAGATTGGATAATTTTCAAATTATAGAATAAAAGAAGTTTATTTTATCCTGATCCTGATTATTTTTTCTACATTAAATTGTAAGCGTTTTATTTTATTTAGAGAAAATAATTCACTTTTGAAATGTGTTCTGAGTTTAGTTGTTAAGTGTAAATTTTAGTTCACTGTTTTTTTCTTTTTCTTGATTTCGTTTTTCTCTCTCTTTTTTTTTGGTCAGGAGATTTAAAAATTGATTTTTTGTTAAATCTGTGAAGGATATTTTATACCTAATAAGTGTATATCCTTTTTTTTTTGTAGTTGTGGTAGTAGTGGTAATAGTTGAAGTAATATAAAAGTGGTTGTATTGTATGTGTGTAGTTATTAAAGTAATATAAGTAAATAAGTTATGTAATCAGGATTTCATATTACTGTGACCTCGTAATAATTACGATATTTTATGTATGTATAGACATATATATATATATATATATATATATATATATATATATATATATACACATAATACGTATTCACACGAACATATGTATGTATTAAACATGTTTGATAATTAATTTGAGAAGTTTAAAATTAGTTGTTGAAGATAAAATATGAAAAATTTGTAAATTTAAATTTTCGTTGAGTTTTTTTTTTAAAATATTTAATAATAAAATAAAAATTAAAAGTTTAAATTTATAATTAAATATTAATGGTGTTAAAAGATAAAAATAAATATTTAATTTATTTAACTGAATGACATGATTAGAAAATTGAATGAAAGATTAATATTTGGTGCAGTTTTGGGTACAGATAAAAAGTTTTTATGTAAAAAATAGTTTCAATGTTTTTTTTTTTGTATAATATATGAAAAAAAGGTCCCAATTGTAAACAAATTGTCTTTGTATTTTCTAAATATAAAATGCTCATTTGAAAAAATGTGACTGAGGCGAAGTACAACCGCGGGTTGGAAAATTATTTTTTTAGTTTTTCGTACTTTTTTCAACTTTAAACTGGAATAATGTAGTTTAATAAGAGTTAAAATGAATAAAATTTGGTCTCTTTTTGAAATTTATACAAAATTGACGCCAATTTTTCTTTCAATTTAAACCCTGATTATGTTTGCAAAAATCGATAAAAACTTTTGACTTTATAAATTTGAAGCAAGTTTCAGATTTTTTCGGGTAGAATTCTTTTATTAAGTGAAAGAAAGCAGCACCTTTTTTTTTTCATTATTTGAATGCAATTTACGTATATCGATATAATTTTAGAAAATGGAATTGTTTGAAATGTTTTTTCAGTCAAAGTAAAAATAAAGTTGGGTCAAACCAATGGTTTGTATTGTAGCACTTTTCCCTTCAACAATGGAAAATACTGCTTTTAAAAACAATCGATGTATACCCACAACACTATTAAATTTATTTTAATTCATATACGAAACTATTTCTAGAATTGCATATATTTAGGATGAACGCTTTTTGCAGTCTTTGAAATAAAGCAAAAATAAAGTTAAAGAGGGATTAACGTAATGCTCGATTTTAAGGGTTAATTATATAAGTTAAGAAAAATAATTATATTTCTTAATGGCATTGAATTTGCCGGTAGCTTTCTCCTTTTATAGAAATTTGAAAAAGGTTTCCGTTTTCTTAATTATAGGGTGCTAAATATTGAAATTTTACAAATTTTGAGAAGCGATAACTAGAGAGCGGGTGGAGATAGGAAAAGAATTTTTTCTATGAATAATGAACTATTTATTAGTGTCTAAAAGCTGTAAGAATTTTAGACTTCCACATCCTGGGGTTAAAAAAAAAGCGTTATCAAAAATTTGGAAAAAACGGATTTTAGATAACAGTAAATTTGAACGGCCATTTTTTTTAAAAGTTTAACTATAGTATGCCGTGATAGGAGAAGCAAGCTACTGCCTTTGCAAAATTTGCGTTTGCAAAATTTAAAAAATGCTTATGGTTTCACTACAATAAATAGTTAAAAAATGGCATTTTTAGGGTTTTAGGGGGGTATCACTTTTAGAGGGGGGAGATAAGTGAAAATATTCTTCTACGGAATTAATTTTCTAATAAAGGTCTATGTGCAATTTCAGCTTTCTATCTTCAATAGTGTAGAAACAGACACACGGACAACTAGACGGACGGACATTAAATTTTCTGATACGTTATAGATATGAACTAACCTAAAAATATGTTATTAATGTTACGGTGCGTTACGTTATGTTGTATTACATTAGGTTGCCATTTTAGAAAAACAAAAATATCTTTGTAAAAAATTTAAAAATTGCAGCTTATAAAAATTTTAAAATTACAAATGTAATTATGGTCTTGTATCCGTTTTCAAATTTTTAACATAAGTAATTGTTTTTTTTTCAGAAAATACGTGGCGAAGAAATCTGATATTTTAATAGCTTCTAGACATAATAAAATAGTTACCTTTGTTAGAACAAATTTTTTTTTCCATATTTCTTTCCTCTCAAATTATATGGTTTCTCTTAATTCATGTAGTATCATTATTAATAGACTTGAATATATCTTCCTAAAAGTATGCAAAATTTTATAATACTAATAGAAAATAATCAAATTTAAAAAAAAAAAATGTTTTATTTTTTTTTTTCAAGAAAATAATCGTTTAACAATTCTTTGGTTTGATCTTTTTGAAAAAAAAAAAAATTAAATGGCTACTACATTTATTGAAGGAAGGTTCTCAACGACTAAAAATAAGATGGGCAAAGTTATAATTGAAATTTGGTGACATTTTCGAAACCTAAATCTGACTCAATAATTTTAAAATACAAAAATCTTTATTTTAAATTGTAAAAATCAAAAATATTTTATTATCAGACTTCAAAGAAAAGCTTTATTATTAAAAAATTTGTAATATATATGTACATGTATAATATCC